TGATCATGAACATAGTGAACAGCATCGTGGGGGTCAGCGTGCTCACCATGCCCTTCTGCTTCAAGCAGGTGAGTCGGCCGCCGGGCGCCTGCGGGCGGGATCCCGGGGATTCCCTCCGCGGGGAGCTCGCGGTATCGGCGTCGGCAGCGAGGTCCGCGCACGCAGTACCTCCGGCTCGAGCGCAAGGTGTAGCCGAGCAGAATGACCGTCCAGAACGGACCGTGACCGAGGGGTCGCCCGGCGCTGCTTCTGTTGCTATTTTTCAAAACTCCGAGCCTCCTGCACTTGCATCCAGAAGCGGGCACGTCCAGCCCCCGAGGCCGTGGAACGAGGCGGGGCGCCGGCTGCAGGTGGTTACAGAGTTCGCCAGGTTGAACACGTCACCTCGCCAGCGGCAGATAAAAAATCTGAAATATTAAAACACCAGGATCACGCCAATAGGAAACTCCCCATGAGTGCAAGCCACCATTCCTGATCTGTGGCTCCATTTAGCTGCTGCTGAAATCATCCCCGAATAAACAGGCCAGCGGGGTCGCTGCCCCCTGCCCACTGGAGACAGCCTCGGGTGGGGCGGGGCGTCCTACGTGATACCGTCACATAGGTAGAAAACTTAAATAAGATGGACCTCTGGGAAGTGAAACGGGCCCCAGCTGTTTAATTTTAGAGTCTCGCGGGGACAGACACGTTGCATTTTTCATACTTAGTGTCGTGTAGATTAAAAGAAACTTTTAATCTGGGGATTTTGGATCCCCCGCCTCCAGCCCTCCAGCCTGTCTGGGCGAGAGCCCGTCTGATGAGGCTGGCGGGCATGTTGGCAGGAGCTGGTGGTGTGCAGGCCAGGCAGTCGTGGGAGGCCCGGCTGGCGGCTCCTCGCACCCCCAGGGCAACATCTGTATCTGGGTATTGCATCCCTGGTGGCTGGCCAGCCCTGGGTGTTTCTGGGAGGACTACGTGTCCCAGGGTGCATTGCGACTTGCCTGGCACAGAACTGCATCCTGGGTGGTGTAGTTGGCTGGCAGGGATGTGCAGGTCTCGTGCTGCCAGCCTTTATGCCACCGTGGCTGCCCACGGACTTGCGTGTGGGCCGTGCGGGGGCACAAGGCCCCTGGCAGAGCATTTCCACATAGTGAGGCTGGCTTGCTCAGCAAGAGCCCAAAGCTCAGTGGTGGAGGTTACCTGGGAGCCATGGACGGACCGGTCACCTGTCCCAAGGGTCTGGGGTCACCTGTCCCAAGGGCCTGGCCGTATTAACAGCGTCTCCTCCCAGGGGAGCCCCTGGCTGGAGCATAGTGGGAGGCAAGTGGGCAGTTTGTGGGGGGGGGGTGTAATTTTAGTGTGTGACAGCCATGTCATTTTTAAAAAGTTTATTTCTTGGTTTGGTTGATTTTAGGAATTTTGGTACTTTTAAAAAAATTAACATTTTATTGAGATACTAGCGGATTCATGCACCGGTGGGGTCCCTCAGCCTGGCCTGTGGGGATCGGGCTGAAAC